CTGTAATAAACTTGTTTTTACGGGAGTGGGTTATCAACCCCCAGCCCAACCCCCAACCTAGGGGACCAGGTAGGTCACACTTCGTCTGGCCTCTACCCTTCGACCTGTTCGGCATGGGTGACCCTACCAGGAGTACAAGACTCCAGCCGACATAGCTCTGGGGGTCACTGAGACACACAAACCATCCTACCGCGGTAAGGTTGTGACCTCGTGGGATGGATCCAGATCGAGTACAACGTTGTAATCTCCTCCTATGATAATGTCATCTCCTTTAAAGTCTGTCAGGTGATCAAAGCAGTCAGCGTATATATTAGCCAGGGTTAAACAATATTTTTCTTGGGGGTCAATGGGGTCCTTGGGGGTCAAGCAAAGGAAAACCTTTTCAATCTGAAAATCAAAGTTGTTATTGAAAAGTATGCATACCCCCGCTTTATTGCTCTTGTAGCTGCTAAAAATTGCTTGGTAGCCCCATTCTGCAGACCATACGGGATTAGCGTTTTCAGCGCAATGGACCTCTTATAGCATATACATTGAAAACTTTTTTGTGCGGAGCCAATTAAACATCTCTCTACGTTTTGTGTTGTCTCTTAATCCCCTGACATTCGGTGACGGTATTAATTGTCAAAGCCATAGGCATTCTCTTGGAAAGCTTTGAACAAAAATACCTGTATGACCTGATGACAAAGCTCCACAATCACTGGACAGCATCGTGAGAATTAGTGCTGGGCGTTCTCTTTTAAAACAAATAATTAGCTAGAAAAAACAAAACAATACAAACGAATATACACGATTAGTTTTGGTTTTACTGTCATACATACGTACATACATTACTTTTATTTGTACACTATTAAAAATCCTAATTGAACAACAAAGTAGCGCGGGTTTTCAAGCCAATCATATAGCATTTAAGAATGGAAAGAGAAGCAAAGCTGGAAGTGCGCAGTCTGTAATAACCTCTAAATTATGCATGACAATATTCCAATAACCAATAAACCTCATTTATCTACACTATAAATTCAAAAGATCTCTTACGGTCCTAAAATGTAAATTTAGCCCTGGTGATGTCTGATTCTCGGCCAATGAAAATCTGGGCCACACAGCACCTACAAAAAAGAACTATTTCAGCCCAGTCCTACTCATTTCAGTGCGTAGGTCCATATCCGGTCCATAAAAATTAGTTCCCTAATTGGTACAGTGTTTTACTCACCGAAAGGTTTACGCCCCATTTAAGTGTTTAACACTGCTCTTGAATTTATACAGTGATAAAGTCCAGTTTACGAAGTATTAACTTGTATTGTTTTTAGTTCATCCTGGTGCTGCTCTTCATTCGGGACCTCACTACACCGCTGAAGGAAGTAATTTCAGTCTTCCAGCTTGTCACGTGACTGGCGACCCAGTCCCAGTTGTCACCTGGAGGAAATCATCGGGTCAGTTACCCAAGGGGAGGGTGCAGTATAATAACAGTGCTTTACAGATCGCAGATGTCCGTAAAAGCGACTCTGACACGTATTTCTGCTCAGCTGTCAATTTGGCAGGACGTGATGAAAGAAAAACTCTTTTGGTCGTTGTTCCTCTTCCTCGCTTCACTTTAAAACCGTCTGTGAAGGTTTTTGCCTCTCTTGGCAGCAATTTGACGCTGAAATGTAGCGCCACCGGTGATCCACAACCTGTCATCAGCTGGAAAAGACACGGAGCGCAATTGCCAGTTGGGAGGAGTCGCGTGTCAAAAGACGCGCTGATCATTAACAGTGTAAAGCTGG